CCCTCTGTGTCAGTCCTGACTATACAACTTCACAGTGAATCATGAGCATGTTGAATGATTAGATTACTCTTTGTTTGTGTAGTGTGTAATGTTTTACTATTGGAAGGGAAATTGAAACCCACAATGCCAGTCTGACACTGGCATTGGCACTGGCATTGTGGTGGACACAGTAATAATATTTATATGCGTTTCCCTGCGGTGTTTGCTCAAAGAAAGGTTCTGCCGATGCCTCGATTCACTTTTGCTTTGCAGTAGTGACAAAAATATCTTGACATAAATTGATATTTACTTCAAAATGCAAAATGTGATGTTACTTGCACTGACCAGGGTATAAGCATTCATAAATATGAATCTAAAGATCAACTTTCTATGACTCAGGAATAGTTCAGTTTCTTTGTAGTGGGGTAGGCCACGCCCCTAAGCACACAGCAGCAGGTGAAAGAAACCAAAGCCATGTACTGCTGTGGACACAGTTACCAGCAGAACAGATTTTAACCACCTGAAAGACATTAATATTGGTTTATATGTATATGCTTTATTTATGGTTTCACCACTTTACCTGTTCTTTCTGACAAGGAAGCAAACTCCAGAGTTCACTAACAGTAATTTTACCTTACAAAACACAGGAGTCCTTTGTTTACTGAGGCAGCAGTTGGTAACCAACTGTAAACTTAAAAATCACTGTTTTTGCCAGCAGAGTCTGGTGGCTTTAAAGAGAGATTTCTTTATTAGCATCATGGCCCACGTTGTTGTTTTCTCAAAGTTAATCAGCATTGTTGTCTGCTGTCAGTCATGTAGTTTTAACATCAAAATATAACCTCAAGCTTTAAGTCATTCACATGTGTTATTACTGCACAGTGTCTCCCTCCTTGCTGTTGCACAGTGACTGATGGTGAAATGAGTGGTGAGCTGCACAAAATAACAGTTTACTGAAGAAACACTTGATGTATTGCAACATTAAATTATATTGATATAAATAATGTATGATTCTGCACGCACTGACCTACTTTTAGTTACCCAGCTTTACCTGCTACTTCACTTGTAATTAGGTCATCTCATGTGGTTTATTGCTGCTATGTTATTGTACCAATGATATGTTGACATGTGTCAGCCAGACTTAGGACTCATTTAGCAGAACGTTTAAAGCTTCTTATCCTATATTTTAAAAAAAAACTTATCATGAGGGTTTAGCAACTTTTTTTTTTTTATCATCGTGTTTTTATCAAACATTGTTAATCACGGCTTAAATCAATAACTTCGTGTTTGTTTGATCTTTGATCCTTTTGCCTGCATGTATCGCTGCAGAGGGTTGTGTAAAATCTTCCATATGTATTAGACTGGATCGATTATGTGAAGGTCATAATTCATGCCAAGTCTGCATGAATTAAAACATTTATTAACACATTTCCTGGAAATATAATCAGTATAGTAATTTAAGACTAAGTACACTTAATACTATACTTAATACTGAGGTCAGCTTTTGAAAAAACAAGCACATGAAATACACAAAACTGTGTAATTTTATTAGTTTATTTCTAAATGAGGACTTTAGACAATGAGGTAAAAAATGAACAGCATCCTCCAGAAATTAATTTAACGTAGAACAAGAAACTTCAGTTGTGTAGTTGGACATTTCAAGCTTGCTGTAAAAGCGACTCAGTGACCATAGACCTTGATAGTACCCAATTTAACAGAAGGAATAAATATGTTAATATCCTACTACAAAACCACGGTTGGGTTCGATACCTAATCCTTCTACCACCCACCCATATACTGTGAATATATCTTGCTAACCAAGGTGATAACACTCCACCTTCTGGTTCAAATGAGGTCACTTCTTGCTCCAAACAAAACAGGATATCAGAAAGCAATGGGTGGTGTCACTGTGGCTTCTTCTTTTGTTATACAGGCTGTTTTGGAAAAAACAAGCACAGTTCAGTCTGTCTGTAGATGTATTCCCATATTCCCATCTCACTCTTTCCACACATACACACTGTGTTTTTCTCCACCCAATTAGTCCCCAGCAGACACTTCACCAGCATAATGTCTAATACACTATAAAAATACCTGCACATTTGTCATTATGGTGGTAGACCCTGTCACCTCCCATCTGGGCGGACCCGGCTGGGATTTCCAATACACCCCTCCCATCTCGTAAAGTATTGTCCACCAGAAACTATTGCACATGTGAGTTAAGTGGGCAGCTCGCTGTGTCGACCCATGCGGTAGGAGATGGAGGCCCCGTCTCAGACAAAGACCTCCAATTGATGTCTAAACAATGGTGCTGGCACACAGCAGCCTCCTGCTTGTGGAGGGCACAATAGGTCTTTTACTGTAGCACCAGGGGAGGAGTTGCTAGCAAGTTAGCTTAGCTGCTTAGGGACATTGTTGTGAACCTGAACATTCAATCTCCATGTGCTTGGAGGTTTAACTGGTGGTTTTAATATTTGCTCTGGTCTTCAAATGTCAGAATTTCTTTTATATATTTAGTGTAACTGAAAAGTAACACGATGATGGGCCGTGTTGGCTGAGAATAAACACATTATATTATGCATGCATAGCAAACACCACAGAATACCTTCGGTTTTCTGTGTTTTGTTTTGTGTTTTTGTTTTTATCTAACCTTGTTCTGGTTGATCCTCTTTCAGGACACGTGTGTGTGGTATGTCATTGCCACCTATGACACTGTGTCAGTCAATCTAAACACAGGAATGAGCTAATCTGAGTGTGTGCCTTGCTGTTTTACATTCTTAGAATTTTCTGTTCTCTTGTTTCCTGTTTTCTTAGTACTTGTGCTTCTTTGGGTCTAGAGATATGACCATAAACCAGTATTTAGTTTCTATTTCCATGGGACACTGCAACTGATGAAAGATAAATCTAATCTGATGGAAACTTTTCCTTTTTTTTTTAATAGAGCCAATTTCCTGCACTGGAAGGTTGGTTTACGATCATCTTGAATCCAAATGTCACACAGAGGCCATTTTAGGGCGCATAAAATGGATTAACAGGGCTGAGGCTTATCTCCTTTTAAATATGCTGATAAACAAAATGAGAGTCTTGGACACCCATCAGCAATTTGGGATGGTGCTCAAAGACTTTTATATTGACAAATGTGTTCATGTGCAGCAATATCGAAGTGTTGAGGACTACTTAACCTCTCTCATCGTCTGACTCAGCAGTCATAATATGCTTTTAGGGTTGTTTGCGAATGCAGCAGCAGAGGTTTGGCAGCTGTGGAGAAAGAGACCATTCTTCTGTGGAGAGAAACTGGCATCCTAGTCCATTTTGGAGAGGAAGGAAGTCAGGCAGGCGGCCTCAGGGAGAGGGAAAAGCCAGGAGAGGGAGAGAAAGATTGTGTGGGTGAAAGAAAAGGGCACAGAAAGTTAGAGCGCGGGAAAGGTAGCCAGAGGTAGAGCAACTTTAACATGAACTATTATATGTTTGGCAGCTATTTTGCTTGTTTGTTTTTTTTAAACTGAAGAAGAAAAAACCTAATTTACTCCTGTGGCTGGATATGCTCCAATCTGGTCAGATTGGTCAGCGGTTCATCCCAAAGGTGTGGGATGTGGATTAGGGAAAACATCAGACCTGTTGGGTGCTTCCACAGAAATCTGGGAATGTCTCTTTAGAAAACTTAGAAAAACATACTATATACAAAGACTTCCCCAAAATACACTGGAATATCTGTTAATAGTGCTTTGCTGGTTCACATTGATTTAACCCAACCCTTCTCCATAAGCCATCAGTTATTATTTAAACAGCTTCCTTATTTGATATTAACCTCCATAACAGATACATTCAAAACAGCGTCTAACACAGAGCACGCTAATAACATCTGCAGCATGATATTGTAACATGCAAATAAAGCAAGATGGGAAACCTTAAGCTGGTGTCACAGTTTGTTCATATTTCATAAATGCCTTTCTGCTATTGTAATTGGTGAAAATGTAATCTGTAGAGGTCTAAAATGTGGTGTGACTGATTTGTAAAAGGGCGATGTTGACAAGTGTTGCAATTGTGTCAGCATTGTGATTCTGCAGTGTTGTAATTATAATGCTTTTTGTGGTTTCTGGTGTCTGATATTGGACTTTACAAAACTCTAGAGTAATACAGTAAATGAGCTGTATAAAAAATATAATAAGAATTATATCTTCTAAATACATGGAAACTATGCATTTTGAATAGTAAAGGCATTGCATTGTAGTTTTGTTTTGTTTTTTTAAACATATGTTTCCAAAAAAAGTTTTGTTAATCTTTATTATTTCAATGAAAATCATTGAAAGCATTGCCAGGCTATCAGTCTAATCTTGTTGGTTGTGATTATCAATAAAAAAATCATTTTTTTATATTCTTCAGGTTTGAGAAGGGGAGGATCTACACCTACATCGGCGAGGTGGTGGTGTCTGTCAACCCTTACCGTGCCATGAACATATACGGCCGGGACGTCATAGAACAGTACAAGGGCCGTGAGCTCTACGAGAGGCCGCCACACCTGTTTGCCATTGCTGATGCTGCTTACAAAGCCATGAAGAGGAGAAACAAAGACACTTGCATTGTCATCTCAGGTATCACGAGAAGCCCCCCTGCACAGACCAGACAAAAGACACCTTTACATCTACAAAGCATTTGTTGAAACTCTTTTTGTGCTGTTGACTTCACACATTGTCTTCTGATGACTCAGATGTTTTGTCTTCTCAATTCAGCTGAAAATGATGATAGGCACTTCACTGTGACTTAGTCTAAAACAAGTGTTTCATGTGGTCACAAGCTGGGTGAGTGCAGAGAGGATGAAGCACCACTTAGTGGTCAGAGAGGGAAATAAGACCCTCAGATCCTGAGATCACGCCATGAGTGCATTCTGTCATGTGGTTCGGGCAAATATTATTTGTAAAATAAAAAAATAATTAATGTGGAATTAAATAGTTTTGTGCATAACATGAATATAAAACAAAAACTGCAGCTCGGGATTTGTTTATGGGTCTCACCAGCATGGACGTCTCAACTCGTGTCTGTTTAAAATATTCAGCATTTTAAACCACTTGCATTTTGTTGGTTAAATTTGCAGAGCATGCAACACACCACAAAATTATAGATGCCAACATGATTTATAGTTATTTAAAAAAAAGACGCTATTAAACTGTTTTGTTTTGGTTTTTGTTTCAGGGGAAAGTGGAGCAGGAAAAACAGAAGCCAGCAAGTATATAATGCAATACATTGCTGCTATTACCAATCCTAATCAGAGGGCTGAAGTTGAAAGGTGAGCAGCTCTTATGGACACTGTCAGCACATAAACACATGGTGAATATTACCAGAAAGGAAGTTGTTTTCTTGTGAGTTCCAGTTGTCATGCATCACCACTTCTGTGGGCAGAAAGCTTATCACATAATAATCAGTGTTATGGTTATTGAACAAAAACAAAAACAAAAACAACCAGGCGCGTATGTTTTAATAGAAGGTGTAAACGGTCTCACAACACATTTCTGAGTAAACAGGATTTAACTCTTCATTCTTTGTGTCAGTCCCAGTGCAATGATGACTACTCGCAGGTCTTATCACAGGTTTTGTTGCTAAAAATAAGTCAGTCTTTAATTTTAGAAGTAAATCAGCAAGTGGTCAGAGGCTTTTAGATCAGTGGGATATAGTTACAGCTCAGCTAAGCTTAGTCAAAGCCACTGATAAGTGAATAGGTGTGAGCTGTTACTGTGCAAAAAGAAGTCGTTGCATCACATTACAGTCGGATTTTATTTCAGTCTCTTAAAATCATCAAGATAATAAGAAAGTAGAGCAGCTTTGATGCAAAGTCCACCAAATGTAGGTCAAGGGAAAAAGCTGGAAAAGCCTTGACGGTCAACCATTTACGTGGTGAATACAAAGTGCTGACAAATGCAGAGACACTAAAACTTTATGCACGAATAAACATTTTGAAATCCATAAAATTCTTTGCTCACAGAGCAAAGTTTAGAATTGTGCTTTCTCTTTATCGCTGAGGTTACAGCAGCTGGTGGTTTACTTCATTACATTTCAGTACAGGATGGTATAATTAGCCAATGCTTTAAAACCCTTGAGTATAGAAGAGTATAGTATTTGATTATATAAAGGATATTTAGAAAATAACAAATTGTAGATGGGTAGAAGGAGTTTGACTGCGTACTCACATCCTAATGATATTCTAAAGGAAATGTATGTGGACAGGATGTGCTTCGTATGTATACAGTCTTTATCAAAAAGGCACTAAAGTAAGTTACTGTGTACACATAGTGTTTAAAGTTGTTGGCTGTGTTTATGTATGTCCCATATAAATTACCTGTTTATCTCTCGATCCACATACTAGACCGTATGAGTCACTGTTTTTAAATTGGCTGAACTTGGCGGCTGTTTGCCCTCTTTTTAAGTTGACTTCTTTCTAACTGGCTATCCCTCGCAAACAGGTGCTTTGACAGCAGGTGGGCGGGAC